GTGTGTGTGTGTGTGTGTGTGTGTGTCCGGGGGGGGAGAGAGCGAGAGAGAGAGGGATAAAAATAGAGAGAGAGAGAGAGAGAAAGAGAAAGAGAAAGAAAAAGGGTGAGAAATGGATAGAGAGAAAGAGAGGTTTTGGACCCCTTGCCACCAACATCACCTACCAACAGACAAGTTTTAAGGCAGACGAACAAAATAGAGTAAACACAAAAGAACGAAAGAATAAAGAAAGGAAAATTTCATTGTAAACGAATCAACCAGGGATAAAACTGAAAATCGCCTCTTCTTGATTGGAACAAAAGAACAATGAATGAGAGAAAAAAAAGAAACCACAAGAAAGATAAAAAAATAAAAAAGGAACAACTAGAATGGGTAGAAGAAAGGAAGACGGTTAACTGAAAGGTGATTAAAGAAAGGTAATAGAAAGGCCTGCTTTTATCGAGTGGACGATCTGTCAGTATTTTAAATGTCACATAACAGCATGCCGCAATTACCACAGTTTAAAAACTGGTCAAAGGTTTCCATAATTTATTACTTCTGTTTCTTTCTCAAAGTATGTCTCGGTGGGAGGTCTTTCATCCATGTGCTCTCATTCTTTGATATCGTTATTCTTCCCCTCTCCCTCCCTCTCAAAACCTCGCTCTTTCCTCGGCTACTTCAGCCAACTCAGGAAAGACTTGGTATTGGAATCATCCGAGTTTCTGCACTGGGAAAATCCACACGAGCGAGGCCGAAGTGTCGATTTCGTCTCAAACTCATGCCATCACTCTCCAAATTAGTGATGACGAATAAAAGGAAATATACATACTTCTGTTCAATGTTCTTACCTTTTTCGAAGTATGTCTATTCTTTATTGAAACTGGGGACAATTTAATAAGCAGTCTTTTAGGCAAACTTCAGCAGGGTTTGGGGGTGATTGTCGAGCTCAGCCCAACTGGGCAAAACGATTTACAGGAGAAAGGGTTATTCAAATACAAACTGCTTGGCCAGGAGAAAAGGAATTGATTGTATTTCTTGACTATTGAAGAGGGGAGACCACGCAGACGAAATGATGAACCGACAGAATAAACTGTGTAAACAATCAAATGAAAGCTTGAACACAAACAATTTGTTATTTTGTCATGGGAAACCACTGTCGTTGAAATCACAGAAAGGCCTATTTTTTTCTACCTCTACATCGGTGTACATGTATAGATCATTTGTGCTTTTCTGGTTAATTATCTGCATACAAGCTAGAAAACATGACACCCACCAAATCGGGCCTTTGAGACGTGCCTGCCTACAACCTAATTATAGATGCTAACAAACATCATGATACGAAATAAGAATGGGGTAACTTGGCCGTATTTTGCGACTCCCAAACGCAATAATTTCACTTTAGGCATCAGGCTGCGCATTGGAAAATCGATCGGTAAATAGGCAGGGGACGATCAAAGATTAACTGGGAAAATAGACTATAATGAAGGACCTGTAACTAGTAAACAAGAAATGGTGTGGTGGCAACGCCTTAATTGTCTGCAGACAGAGCTTCCTGGTCATCCCCGGTTGCTCCGTAAGTCTCAAGACGTGGGAGTCTCTGAGTCTAAGTAGAAATAAGGTGTGCTGTTACAAGAAAATAAATAATAGCTCGTTCATTTTCGTCTGACCGCGGTTAAAACAAGGTAAAATTAAATCGTCTTGTTTAATCTTCTCCCATCTTTGCATGCGGGTCTAAAAGTTTGATGATCAACAGACTCTACTAAAAGTCCAAACTTCAAGGTCTCTGCAAACAAAGGTTTTGGCACGTTTCCGTTGATGTTAGCCTGAAACGGGTAAAAACAGATATCAAGGAATTTACAGCATGCGGTTACAACATAACTAAGTTGACCTATTTTCCTTAACACCGTACTTTAACGCACGCCCACAAAACGCGGTTCACGAGACTCACGAGGAGACATCTAGACAATTGTGGGATGAGGGCTACAAGCGTCCCTGAAATGAGAGGAGAGTGGTGTCGCTGTCTCAAAGTGAGCAATTTATAGGTAAGGTTTCTGTAAATCATTTATTTTTTAGTGATTCTGTGCTTACACCCAAAGAGAATTTTAAAGAAAAATTATAGGGCCCATATAGAAAAAAAAATTCATGGATTAAGACTTTTTAAAGAAAAATATTTTTGTTTAGTTTCTGGCCTGCTGATGTGGCATGCAAAGTTTCGTGGGCACAGGTAAATAAATAAATGGGATAGAATTTTATCGCGGACAGGCGAAAGTGAACAAGCTATACATTTTCACATTAAGGTAATGAGCCGTTTCTGATTAAATGATTATTATTCCATAATGTTACACGTAGCCTACTTACTTTTATTGAGGGAATAATCTGTAATAGTAGATCATTACCAAGGTGAACGAACTCGTAAAACCGATGGTGAACGTTTCTTTTTCGTAATTAACACTGTTCTTCACGCAAGTGTTTTTACACCCCAATCATTTTAGATTATTTAGTAGGCGTGCTTTTGACCCAGTCTGTCAGGGACAACCCAGGCTGAAAGGGATACGACATCCCGATATGCTTGATAAAATTGTTTCTCTGCACTCGGGAAGGGGGTCTCTTGTGGTCTAGAGGTTAATGTGTGCGTCTCTCTTTTAATTAAATTAATAGGTCACCCGTTCGAAACCTTACAGCGACGGAACATTCCTTATCCAAAAATCTATTGTTCACTTTCACACCCTTTCCTGCTCTCTAACCATGATCTATCGCCTGCTTTCGTCTCCAATTTCTGCCCCCCCCCCTCTTTTTTCCCCCTCCCCTAGGCTCCTGACTCCTTCTACTGCTACTCCTTGGCTTCTCCTTACTGCTATAAGGGTAGGTTAGAACTAACACCTAGTCTTCTCAGAAGGGCCGAAAATCTCAGAGGTCTCGTGCGAAAGTTGCGCACGGTAAAGATCCCTTGGTGGTTCAAATCGATAAGAGTAGGCTTCGGCCTCCACCCGGACAGAATTCAAAATTAATTCCTACCAAACCGCAAAATGTTCAATGTGTCCCCTGCGCTCATATGACCTTATGCAGTTGCGAGC